CTTAATTTTCATAATATATAATCTTCAATTTTTTAATCTTATCGATCATATATCTCTATAGACACAAGAATTTTTATAGAAATCTATGATATTTCCTCTATCCAAAATATCTAGGCAATCGATATTATTATTTTTAGAGATATAATATAAACGTATAATCCAAATATTTTTTTCATTTATATAGTTATACGATATATCTTTTATTCGATTATATCTTCCGATAATATTTCTTAAATTCGATATGAAATAAAGAATCATTCTAATATATTATATCAAATCGATTCTTCTATTCGTAAATTTGAAGATTTCATATTTCACGATATTATTCTGCTTTCTAATTCATAAATGAAAGATATCAGATATCGTATATAATCGGAATTGATCCTAGAGGTATTTATTCAGACATGTTGCTCATATTTCCTTTATAAGATCCAAAAGAAACTCTTATATAAATCAATAAATCGTCTTATCTCGTATTATATCGAGCCCTCGTCTTTGAAGATAGGTATTGGTCCATATGGATTGGCTTGCAACTCAGAACGCCCGTGCAACCCAAACATATGTCTACATATTCTCACAGCCACCTCGGATAACTTGCAAAGTAACCCTCGTCGGTCCTCAGTGCAGTCAAACCACCCACCGAACAAACAGGTTCAGGTTGTCATTCATTCTCTCGACACCAAGACCCCCAAACCTGCTTTTGATGCGCTTGGCGCGTGACGGGTTTAACAAACAGGACAAGAGGCAGAAGCAAAGACTCGGTCAAGTAGATGGCTTCTTCGGCGAGATAGACGAATTCTAGGTTGACTCGAGAGCTAGCCTCTGTGTGTGTTTCATCTGCTATTCATGTAAGTACTTGACAAGGCTCATTTCGAGCCTTGGGCTGCACATCCGGAGCCTCCCTTCTGAACTGGTGCAGCAGGCAGGCTCCAGCTTGAAAACATATCAAACCTGTACAGAGTCATAGATAGCTCGTGTCTCGCCTCCTTCGAAGGAATTTCAATAAAACACAGAGCACGACAGCTCCATTGTCTAGCTGTATCCAGATGCATCTGAGTCGGCTGTGGGACGGATGTGTTCACCAACATAAACGTACGGCTGGCCACCGGCAAACCCAACCTGGCAGCCAGTGGGGCATCTTCGATCCTCCTCTGGATCGTCCGGGTACACAACACACCATCCAGTTCCTCCCGTGCAGAGACCTTCCCCAATCGACCCGTAGCGGGTTGTGATGCAACACGCTTCAAACACGCCATCACAGCTTCCTTTCTCTTGATGAGTGCGTATGCACCCTCTTACAATCGTGTAGTAACTGCTCGGGCAGACGAAGGCGTTGTTCGGGTTGTTCTGTTCACATGACCTCAGATGCCCAAGCAGCGCAAGCATGGAGTTGGTCCCGGAACACTTCATTCGGTGTGGCGTGGCGCCTTTTGACGAAAACTGTGTGATCGTCGTCTTGGTTGGTTCAATCGCATGCGAATTGTGGTAAGACGATCTGGTTTGCTCCAAGCGAACGTGCGTCTAGAGACTAGACGACAGCCTCTTCAGTCGCTAGATGTATGCGCCAGATCATGACATGCATGTCAATTCGCTGGTGTGTGAGGACAGCTTGGTTTCTCTCTCTGACTTGGTACTAGTGGCTCTGGGGTAGCTTCGTAAGTGCCTGGTTGGTGCTCACCTTGCAAACAGCGGCACAACTGTAGACAGGCCACGCCAAGGCTTCTGCGACACAAGTGGTCGTAGCAGCGCCGCAAGATGGAACCCCGGTCTGGAAGGTTTCTTGTATTTGGTCTGGATCTGTGATGCAATCGATCTCCAGGTTCCCGAGGCTCTGCCGGCTGACTTTAGAGATAGTAAGAGTGCCAAACAGCTGCAATGAGGCTACATGATAGAGCTCACCAAGCCTGGCTGGGATCTCTTCACCAAAATGGAGGCTGACCTGTTCAGCATGTCCTCCAGAGATCTGCACTAGCGGCGCATCCAGGACCCACTTGTGTGATATGAGTTCAATACCGATGCTGGGCTGTCTTTCTTCAATTTTCACCGCACAGCCGCCCGCGCCCACCATCTCTAGATGCGGGTAGCTCAGTATGGGCACGGAGGCCATGCTCCACTGCTGCAGCTGCTTCCGGCTACCCCCAACCAAGATCTTGCAAAGCCCCAGCTTGTCGGCCATGCCAGCGCACAACAGACCCAAGTCCAAATCAATGTCGAAAGTGATGCCAAAATCGTCGACCTTGCCATCAGGCAGATGCTCCTGTTGCGTGGCAGGCGGGGGGGAGTGGGGAGAATCGGAAGTGTGTCTTGGATTCATTCAACGGGCATCGCCGTCTCAAGCACACCAGGCTACTTGTCGCAGAAGCTTATAAGGCCAGTCCTTGAGGACGTTGTCAACATCGACCGCGGCGGCCAACTCTGCGTTGAAGCCGGGCACCACGGCCAGCTCCAAACCCAAGAGCCCTGAGACCAGGACCTGGAGCCCAAAGCTTGCAGAGATATGGGAAGAGAGGTGCACCGTCAAGCTGGCTCCCAAATCCACGGCCTTTGAAAGACCGGACTCCGAGCGGGCCACCTGCCAGCCCCCTTCGAAGCCCTGAAATCGAGCCTCGAACCGTTGCTGCTGCGATAGCTCAACGGTCAATGCTGATGTCAGCTGCGCAATAACAGTGGCACCGGAACTGAAGGAGACAGAGGGGGCAAGCTGGATCCACACGCCGGGTATGGGGGTCGGGATGGGGGGAAGCTTGGGCATGGGGACCGATACAGAAGCTTCTTTGTCAAAGACTTGCGTCATCCGGCTGAAAGCAAGGCTGCTTCTTAATGACCAGTCGAAGTCTGTCGTAACCAGGATTGAGCTGATGATGCCGGGAAAAACGATGCTGAGACTCACCCTCACCTGTGCGTTTGCACGCAGCTCTCCCTCCAGGTTTAAGCCCCCCGCCCCGAAGTCCAAGTTCACAGCCTTCAACATCGACCAGGACCGGGTCTTCTGTAAGTCCTCGAGGCGACGACCCTCAGACCCTTCGCTTGGTAATGACACCGTGGTGTCCAGCTGCAGCTGCTTGTAAACATCAGTGATTGCTGCTGGCCGTGTATCGGCAACAAGCATCAGGCCCCGAACAGAGACGTTCTCCACTATGACGAAGAAGGAGTCCCCGGAGCTGGCAGTGCCAGTCAAGCAGGACCCATGCGAGATCTCAGGCAGAGCTGCCTTTTGCGTGGCAAGCAAGCTGATGCTTGATGCGTTGGCTTCTACTTCCAGGTCATCACCGGCTTCCACGGGCACTACCGTTGTGCCTTCTGCGAGGATGCTACCAATACCCGCAACTGCAACATGTATCGTAAGTTGATCTGTCGACATCTCATCTTGTCCGACGACTGCAGCTACGGCCAGCAAGGACACAGTGGTGTTAGGTGTCAAGTTCTTCAGCGAGAAATTCAACCGGTCTCCAAGGCGAAGAACGGACACACTGTCCGCGCCACCCTCATCGGAGTCGTCTGAATCGTCAGAAGCATTCAGGACGTCTTCCACAGTAAGATTCGTCTGTTTGCGGGTGAAGGCCAAGAAGTACTCAAAGCGTTGATGGGAACCACTGCTCAAGACAGCAGGCCAAGAAACATCCACTTCGCCAATACGGAAGGACACTGCGGACGTGATTCCGGCAAATGACCATGTACTAACTGCAGATGTGGTTGTCGTCGTCAGGGTGAGGGTGGTCGTCGTAACTGGCTGTATGACATTCAAAGTTGTGATTGCTGCTGTGGGGTCCGCAACAGCTTGGCTTGTGCTGGTGACACCTCGGAATGACCCTCCCGCACTTCTCGTTGTTTCTGACGTTTCCATCCATTCCTCGGAAGGGTCAGATGCATTCTGAATACAACCTTGGAGAGCGCCTGCTAGACACATGAGAAGAAATGCCACCAGACAAGTGCGAGCACACTTGAACAATTCCTGGCACGAACCACCCATGGCGGAGACAGCAGGCTTGCTGCCGAGGGGTTGCAAATTAAGGACCTGCAGAGCTTCCTGTCAAGCTGTGCAGTAGCCCCTTAAGCCTTAAGCCAACAGAAGGTAGTCACAAACTCGTAACATGACAAGGACCACAGCAACCAAGAAAGATATGGCGAATGAATGCGAATGATCTAGCCGTCGGGGCCCGAGCGCAGGATAAAAGCTCGACGACTGAGGTCTGGAATGAGGCCAGGGGGCTGGGGCATTTGCTTTCGGGTGGCAGGCAGAAGCTGCCTCTGCATCTGCTAGAAGTACTGCCGACACTTACAGGGCGCAGCTGGTTATCGTGGCGGATGAACTGAAATATCTCGACAAGACTTGATGCACTTCTTGCATGTTGTAAGTTGTACGAATTGGTGCCACAGAGCAAGTTTCTCTTCGCATCGCACCTCAGGCTGTAGCCATTTTTTCCGTCGTCAATGGCACTCAAAGTCATTTGGTGCCAGCTTCGGCAGCCTGTGTCTAAATGGACGCAGAACCTGAGCCTGACGGCTGCAACTCGAAACGTGGAGTCACGTCTATCGCATACCGTATGCATCACACTACGCTACGGCGTTAGATGGCAACCGATAGGCTGCCGAAGTGTCTGCTACAGCGGGCCCACCCCACTCTTTGCAGGCATCGGGGGATTCATTCCTCCAGGACCCATCCTTAAAACATGCACTGCAGGTTCAACACAGCGTGGGTTTACGACTTACGCTGCTCAGTTGTCCGGACCCAAACGACTCACAGCCGTAGAACGCACGAAGTTGTTGCTAAGCTCCGGGCGGATGTGAGGTGACTGCCGCAAGGCTGCCCTGCACCCTGCTTGAGAACAACATTTCGCTTAGGCTAAGCTGCCAGGCGTGCCATGAAATATGGACTGTGCGTGGATTCATTGGAGCTGCAGGCCTTCTTATTCGGCTCATGAGCAACGCTGATGCATTCAGCCCTCTCAGCGGACCCTCTCCGATGACCTGACCGACACAAGTCATAGATGGAAAGTGTTGACGGTTGACTTTCCTGCACTTGCCTGCCGTTGTGCGTCTGCCGGCAGATTTCTCAACGCACCTTCTGCCGATGCCTTGACTGTCTTGAAAGAGCAGCCGTGCACAACCACATTCCGGCGAAAGACAACACGAGCAAGTGGCGTCGACACCGTACTGGGCAATGAAGGCGGAGACCAAATCCCTCGAGCGCATGTCCCAATCGAGTTTGCGTGTCTGCACAAGCGCATGTAACATATCTGCACGTGAGACGAACCGCAAAGCAAGCCCTCGTTTTCGCAACGAAAGACTTCTCGAGAGGGCGAACATGCAATGCCTGTGTCGGCGACCAGATCGTCACCGGACAATGGATTGGTTACCCTGGATCGTGCAGCACAGAAGCCGTGCAGTCTGCACAGTAGTGTGTGCAGCAAAGCAACAAAGCCTGTCATTGTCAAGGTGTGGCTTAGCCCCTCTGTGCCACAAGTGAAACATCTGACAGTGGCACCGCGCCCTGCTGAAACTTTACTTGTGTCACCTATGTCTCTTTCTGCGCATCTTGTGGCCGATCATTGCAAGGCTCGCCAGCCTGCAGGCAGACATGTCTCCAGCGCTCACTCTGTGGTCTCTCCCACTCTTCCTCTCACCGGTTGCCAAACATTCTCCAGGAGAAGCGAAACAAGAATCGGGCCACAACAAGCGTTCTTGTTTCGTTGTTCATGCGCCCCTTTCCACGCCTGCACTGCGACTTCTTTTCTCTGTAACTCTGGCTCCCATGCCATTTTTGAAATCCTCCTGGTCACGAAGCACATGCCCTTTTCGGCCAACCTAAGTCCGATCTGCATCCTCATAATTTGTGGCTCCCAGCCGCAAACTCAGGCAGCAGCTCGGGCCGCTTCAGCCAGAGAGCCTTGAGTCGGACAGCTGCAAAGGTTCTGACACGATGGGATTTGGGCATCAATGCGTAGCCATAGCGGCCATATTGTGCAGGTTTGCTGTGCACGTCATGCTGCGCAATGCAGTTGTGAACTCTCACCATGCTGATGTTACCCGAAAATTCATGAAGAGTGTCCCCTGGTTGGAGGATTGCCTTTCTTGGTGAGGTGGCCCACGGCATGCACCCACGTCTGTCCACCGAGTTGCAATGGCCGCTGCCACCAGCATGAGGATGGCCCAGCACGACGAAGTTACAAGCCATCCAGTCCGTACGGCTGCGTGCGGCAAGCCGACCGGGGGTGGCTGTCCTAGAGTGTGTGGTACAATCGGGCATTCATTGCTCCCATCAGTCTGAAGTGCAGACAGGCGGCCTCCGACTGCTTCACCGGCTCGACTGGAGCTGTCATGCAGCGTCTGATTCGATTCCACCGGCGGTGAGGGCCTAGGCTTCAAAACAAATGCAGCGCAGTTTAAGACTAGCTTTGGGAATGTGTGCCACTTTGCCCAGAAGCTGGTGTGACGCGTTGTGAACCATAGGCCTCACTGAGCACATGCATACACGGTATACCTGACCTTCTCCCCCTGCAAGCACGGATACAGTGTTGTTGACTGTCGCCAACAAGCGGCTTGTGGGAGTCTGACGGTGAATCCGATGGAACTTCTTCTTGAGGGTCTCTGGATCGCACCTGGGGACAAATTGTGTCGGCACAGATACGCTTTCGGAATGGAAAAGTGGTGGCAGCAGATCCACCGAGACGACTGCATGTGGCCTGCATTGCCCTGCAATGTATAAGCACGGACAAGGACTATGCAGTTCAACCAGAGTGGCATGTCTTGTGTGGTGGCTATGTCGGTCTTGTGTCTCGACCTGTGCACACAGCACTTTCAGCACAGTTGAGACGCGCACAATGGGACCAAGTCATTGCTGCCAGCAGCTTCTGGGAGTCCTGCTTCCTGCTGGTCGTCGTCGTATCGGCTGTCTTCGCGTCTGCTGACATCCGGCTCTGGTTCATCATCCTGGCCGTCTGCCCTGGAGTCCTTCGACAAGGCATCGGCTCCAAACGTCAATGATTAAACAAGGTTAGGGCATGGGATGGATTATCAGCATCAGCTGTCAGCTGTCACAGTGTCATCCTTGTCCTCGGACAGGGAAGCTCTTCGATCTTCAGAAGTGCTATCATCCGACTCTTCATCTTGGTACTCTTTTCGAGCATGTCTTCTGTGGGCAGAGTGGCGTGCCTGAAGGGTTTCGCAGATGTTCTGCCGCGTCATGTTCGGACTTGGTCATATGCTCTCATATAGACGCCCAAACGGACAAGATTCACTTCCAAGTGCCTGCGGCGCCGCATGGTGCCTGAGGCAGAAATCGTGAAGCCGAGCGGGGCTCTGCAATCCAAAACAAGGCAGAAAACTCCCACAGGCGATACTCTGCCAGGATACCTGCCCTTTCCACTGCGAGTGCCTGGCAAGTGCCGGCACCAGTACGACTCGCGTCTGTCCTGCTGCAACTGAGTGCATGACTCGCTGATCTGCCCGCCTCATGCCAGCTGAGGCAACGATCTACTCATTTTTCTAAAATTAATGCTGTGCGGAAATTCTTAGTTGGCATATCGCACAGGTCCCTGTGGCCCCTGCAGTTTTGCCAGAGAGTTCTACGAAGGACGCCGGCACCGGATCATTTTCCTCAGCCAGGTTACCACATAAGACGTACTAATCGGCAACCTACCCCTGCAGCCGGAAAGTGCCTTTTAAACGGACCCGCATCATCTGGAACATCTTTTGTAAGTAAGTTCAGCGTTAGCTGTAAGCGCAGCTGCACATGGTGCCAACGTCGCTTTTCTGATCGTTCGCCATCGGGGTCCTCTCTACGATTGCTTTGACAGCAGGTCCGGTCAGAAGCCAGCCGTCGCTTAGCCTCCAGATTGCCAACAGCTGTGACCGGGACAAGGCGTCCCGGAAGCTCACCACTCATATGCCTGCGTTCTCGCAGGTAGTCCATCACCACATCTCGGAAGAGCTGGTGGTGAGTATAGGTGCGCTCGCACTTGCAAAATGTTTGCACACCGTCCGCCGCAACTTCACTAAAGAGACGGTTTATCGCCACCAAATACTGCTCATCTGGGTCAACTGTCCGACCGTCCACTTCTAAGCCTGTGGGCAATGGGCGCGGCAAGTTGCAGGCAGGAGTTTCAGTACACAGCGAACTGCCCCGCAGAAGGGAGCACAAGAAGACTCATGTAGCAATAACAAGACATTCTACGCGGAAGAACCGCTGGAGTTGTCGGGAAATAGCTTGCCTTGTACTCGCTCAAAAGGCGGAGCGCTCGGATCGTAGCTGACAGACATACCTTGGTCAAGATTGGTGCCTCTGTGCTGATCTCCCTGCACACGGATGGAACCAGAACTTGTACGTAACTGCTTAGGCTTAGAACCCAGGGGGGACATTGACACAACACCCACAACGTCACCTATGAGGCCCTTGCAGTGCCAAAGTGCCTGTTGACACATGCGGAAAGCAACCCACTGGAGTTGGAGCCGAGGCCAACATTTCCTCCAAAGCGTAGCGCAAGCTCTTGCCTGTCAAACGCACCACCGCCGGGCACTCGGCAAATGGGAGTTCCTCGCTCACCTGGAAGCGATCAAAGACTTCGCAAAATGACGGGGGGCGCAAAACACGGACGTGGGGCCCCTGCCTGCCGAGCTGTCAGGACGGAATGCGCCGGGTACACCCTGTCCTGACGACTGGAGCTGGGCCTGCTGCCTGCTTGGAAATTCTCGGAGCTCCTGCCGGATGAATCCCCCGTTGATGATGGCTCCGTGGCAGCCGTGCGGGCGGCAGGCCCACAACGCAGCGTCCGCAACCAAACAGCCAAATGCATTTTCCGTGGAGCGGAGTTCATATGTCCGACTGGACAGCGGCGATCCCACGACGCAAAGCTCCTCCTCCACATGGCCACACGGAAACTAAACAGCCCATCGCCTGCCGTGCCTTCCCCCGTACCTAGCTCACTAGTTGTTGGTCCTCGGTGCTGGTGGTCGATTTCTTCCACCTGCAAACAACCTCTACCACAGTGGGATCCTCTTTGACGGCTGCAGTGCTGCGAAAGTGGAAGGAATGCTTCACCTCCACACCAGCAGGAGCTCGCGTCAGGTACAAGTCCAGTATGCCAACATATTCCTGACACATGCCAAGAAGCCAACGAAGATCCACGACATGCACAGTCAACATCTGTTGGCGGGACAAGAGCAATCTGATCACAGCCAGAGAGCAGCATTCTGCCCGCATTTGGCAATTAACACGCCGTGGTGGATCAAGTAGTATGGGTCGTGGTCGTGGCCTCCGGCATGCACGGCTTGCAGAGGTCAGGTCTCACCACTTTGGACCCTGCGCCCTGCTCTAGGATTTGCCCGCGCTGCCTCCCAAAATAACCTGGAGACCATCGCAGGATTCGGCCAGCTGCTTGTCCTGATGAAGGCTCAAGTGCGTCAGGGCCACGATGAATTCGCAGCCCGAGGCCCGAAGAGCCTTTACGCACCTCTCAGGGCAAGGAGCCGCAGTTCGCAGCAACGCAGCGTTGCCGCCCAAAGTTTCTAGGTGTGCTTGACATTGAGACCCAGCAACAAACCGCGGCTTGGCATCAACATTTCACGAAGCATTGTGCAAATGCTGAGATCACAGGAAGTGGCTGGTTTCTTTGAGGCACTGTCTGAAGCTGGCATATTGCTTTTTTGACGAGTCGGATGTAGCTACAATGCATGGTGGCGGTTGGATGGCTGCCCAGCGGATTCTCCGAAAACATCTCTGCTCTGAATGCCGGGCACCCGTCCTCGTGAGGTGTTCAGAACTAATTCTCAAACACTCCAGATGCGCTCCATGCGGCTTTTGTGTTTCAGCTTTGCTGTCAGAATGACGGTTTGTAGTTGGCTCGTGTGTACGCCCTCTCTAGCAACAACCACTTACACGGCCTCCTTGCATGCGAGATAGGGTCTTCGAAGCTGATGTTGTGTCCCGGGTCTGAAAGCTGAGGAGTAGCTGGAGTACACAAGCCAAACAGGCCACAAAGAACAGGGCCATGGCTGGACTGCACCCAGAAAGTGTCCGAATCCAGAGTAGTATGAAAGATGCTACTCTGCGCGGCGCCGCGGTCGCGCACGTTCGAGCCGAGCCATGGGAACCGGGACTTGTCCATCAGCTCTCGGAGGCGCTCTTCACCGTAGTCAAACTCGTGATTTCCCAAAAGGCAGTAATCAACTCCCAATGAGTTCAATACGTCAACGGTCGATTCCCCCAGATGTTCACTAGCATACAGAGAGCCGCCAAGCAAATCTCCAGGCAGCACTTGCTTGACGAGTACACCAGGGTCTGCAGCCGCTCGGGCAACTGTCCGAACCAAGGCCAGTCGCTCGGGCTTGTACACGTCATTCACCGACAAGATCCGGAGATCGGGAAGCTTGGAGTTTGGCTCCGGAGCAAGCCAAGCCCGGAAGCAGCCCACGAAGCACTGCATCTGTGAGACATGCTCTGCTGCACCGCTGCAGGCTTGATCCCTACTGCAAAATGCAGAACTCACCTTGCATGTGAGTCTTGCCTAAAGATCGCTGTCTGGTGCTTGCCTGAGGTCCTTGCCATGGGATCGAGTAGTTGCTCGTCAACGTCATCCCGAAGGGCGTACACCACAGTGGCCACAGCAACAATTCTGAAAGATTTCATCAGCCTCATTCTGAGATGCCGCGTCAGATTGGAACGGCCCAGCACATCACACCGAAAGACCCCATGCACCCTCATTTGCATGAACTCGCACTGCCGGCCTTGACATCAGTGCCTTCTCTTGGCAGAGATACGAGAAAACCGGAAGCCTTAGTTACAATGGATGTCCTTGCTCACCCGTGGCACTGTAAACAGTAGGCAGCACCAGAAATATAGTACGAGCACTCTCAGATCCCATGCAAGTTTTTTGGCTCCCACATGGTGCATCGGCGAATGGTGCCTAGAGGAGCAGCATGATTTCCCCTCCTCCCTCGAAGCATACTTGAGCATGCCAGAGCTCTCACTGTCGAGACGACTAGCATGCCCTCCTCAACTGCAATCTTCTCTGCAGCTCGTTGCTGTTGCTCGCAATTGGATGCAGACTTGGCCTGGTGAATCTCCCATGTCCCCCCTCCTCCTGGCTTACAGTGCGAACACCTACATGGCGGTGCTGTCAGAGTAGCAGTTCTGAGTCCGCACACACATGCATTCGCACGTGCGAGCCCGAAGAACTCTAAGACTGCAACTCATGCAATGACCAAGGTGCATACCTTCATATTCAGCCCGAGGCACACGGGGTGTGCACCGGGTTGGCGTTGGTTTAGCTGACTGAGCCACGAGGCTACAAGCGGGTTGGCGAACACTTGCAATCTAAATGTCGCTCACTCGCAGCGAAGACACTGACTCAACAAGCAAGCAAACTGCAACAGCGGGGGCTTACCCGGAAGCTTGTGCAGCCTGAACGGCAGCAGTGTTGCCAAGGGACAAATTCTTCGTTCGGCCTAAGCTTGACAAGTTCTTGCTCCGTCCAGGGATTGGGCAGCTAGCGAAATCGCAACACCTTCTGGGGTCCAAACTCAATGCCTCTGCCTGTACAACATGGGCGGAGAGACTGCATACTTTACGCAAGCTGTGCTACTTCAACATGCTCACGGACTCTTGCCAGGAATGACTGGGCCAACATACTGGCAATCACGTTCAACAAGAAAAGTCTGATGGCAGGCCACCTGATGGATTCGAGCCATCAAGACAGATGAACTGTTGACGCCAAGGAGGGGCCTGTGAGCAGAGCTCACGAATTGTAGCTATGCCTCTCCTGGTACGCTGCATGCAGTTCAGCAAAAGCTTCGGCGCACCCTCCAGCCATAATCTCGGCAGCCAAGTGGACCTTGATGAGATGCGATCTCTTGCGGTTCTGTACCGAGAGCCAGCAGAAGTGCCCTTCAACCCCTGCTGAGGCAACCAACCGGCAGTCCACGCAGGCTGATCTCGGCTCGTTGGTCCACTCCTCGCTGTCGCTGTGAATACATGGGGGCCCACAACATATTGAAGAACAACATGGCAGCACAAGGAGTCTAAGCGGAGCGGCCGCTGGCCCTGCAGAAGAGGGAGATCCTCTCGAAGCGCGGACTGCAAGGCTTGAGCGGCTTGTGGCTCGGGAGCTGCGAGGCGCTGGCTGGTCGTTCTGACCCGGAGCCCCCTGGCCCGCCGCCCGGCCGCCGAAGTTCCCCAGCCTGAGGCCCGAGGAAGCTTGGGCTTGGGGTACTTGATGCCACCTGCGCGAATGAACGTCCAACAGAATCGCAATGGTATCAAAAATGGCTGCAGGCAGAGGGCCGGGCTTATCGGGTGACCGACTGCCCTTTCCGGCCCGGCTCAGGCAAAACCCAGCCCATCACTCATCACTATCCATCACTCATCTCCTCAAGTCCTGTGCTTCTGATCCTGAGGAGCCCGAGCTTGATCTGAGAGCCGAGCGCTAGCACAGGAGATGGCTTTGCCGGGTCAGCCTTGGAGCGACGCCGCGATGCTACTTCGGCCACGTGGCCGAAGACCCAACCACACCTAATGATTCAATGGCTTTTCTAGTGTGCTCATAGCTCATTACTTCTGCTGTCTGCTGAGATCCCCACGGCTGGAACAAGTGCTCGTGCTTGCATCATCGCTTGCGCCTGCTTCGCACCAGCCCGGCAGATAGGTGCTTGACAAATGCAATCAGATGGTGGAATCGCCAATCAGGCCACTGTCTTCTTCAGCAGCTTCTTAGAAGTTGCTTCTATACAGGATGGTCGCCAGACGCCAAACAGGGTCGGAAAACAGGGCTGGCATTGCTTGTGGCTCGTGAAATTTGATGCAAGCCCGTGCCCAACATAGAGCGACAGGCAAAACCGATCTGATGGGACGAAGGAAACAAGCACCCGTCACGGCATAAGCTCATGCGAGTCTTATGTCTCTCAGACTCATCAGATCCTCCAGACCCATATGCTTTGTAAGGGTCTGAGCTCCCGTCTCCTGTTTGGGCTTTAAGCCGCCGGGTCTGGGAGCAAAGCCTACGCACTAGGCAATGAGTTCATGCACAATCAGGATACCATGAATCTACATTTTAGGCTCTGCATGTTTAACCAGACTTCTTTCATGTCTACGTGCTGCATTGTGTAGCTCTTCGTCCAGTAGTGTCTTCGTGCACCCAGTGCATTTTTGCTAGCAGGATCAACGCTTGCCTGATCACCCATCCACTAATCAGCCCGTGGACTTTGCCGCGATGGCGGTCAGCAGGGGCAAACTCATCACTCGTCCTGCTAGCTCTTTGACGGTGTCACAGCTGGCAACATGGACAGCGCTGACAAGGCACACAGCTGGCACCTGGACAACCCTACGTACTACGGTAGCATCGGCTCCTCGAAAGTAGGTACCCTTTGAGCACGATGTACATCGCGGCTGGAGCTCCAAGGTCTGAAGACCACTCTTTGGCTCGGAACTGACGTGTAGATGAATCCGGCAAGCACCTGACAGGCTGACATGCGCAAACACGGAGGCAAATCGCCCTACTTGGCTACGGCAGCGACGGGCACTGGTGCCTTCCGAACTCCATCCAAATCTCCCACCAAGCGCTTCAGCTTATGCCATCGCTCCAGCTTTGCAGCCCTAGCCGCTTCACAATCCTCAACACATTTGACGAAGTAGTTCCTGCGGAAGGCCAAGGTCCGGAGTGGAGGGCAAAAGCTGGTGACTAGAAATGCAACAAGAAGCAACCTTGACAAGGCTATCTGTGCTTGAAGAGCTCCTGTCACGGATGGAGAGCAGGGGCTGAGCTTGCACCAGGTGCACACCATAGACCTGACCGCTGCTGTACCGTCGTGGCCACAGATGCGCATCAATCGGGTCCTTGTTGTCAGCCAGTCGTTTCTGACAACATATGAGACAAGTCGAGCGACCAGTGCTAGCTAGCAAGCTCAATTGTCATGTTGGAGGGCACCTTCTGATCCAAATTTGCGGAGTGGCTACAATCTTTGGATCGAGCGGGGAGATGTGGTCATCGAAAAACATGCAGTGCTCCGCCGGGTCGAGTCTACCCAAAAAGAAAGGCTTCCCGCCAGCTGACGTTGAATTGGCTGCTGCCCACCCTTGTGCCGTGTCGCAACATGGGACAAGCTCAGCCACTTGGCTGTTGCAAGAAAAGTACAGACCACGATGCATCTAATCCGTATGAGTCATACCTGACGTCCAACACCAAGCGACCGGGGTAGTAGTCGCGAAGGGCCACTGTGTGACACTGTGATGAGATCTGCATGTAGTGCTTGAAGACTTGGTGCACCCCTTGCAGTGCAGCAGTGTGACAACACAAGACAACAATGAGACGAGCCACTACGTGCGACGAAATGCGGCTTCTAGGCCTTCGAAGATCTGTACGTGCTCTTTGTCCTTCCAGAACTGAGGGCCCTCCTCAAGTTTGCTCGGCTGTTCCACCGTTCCCATGGCCAAGGCCTCACAAAGCAGGCAGCGGCCCTGCGGAAGTAAACCCAAAATTACTACTCCTCGCCGCAAGGAGTTTGGAATGCACCGTTCAGGGTTTTGATGCACCGACAAAGGGAAAGCTTAACAATCTTCCGGAGCCAGCTCGCGATGAAATCACCTTCCAGAGGATTTCGGAAAAATGTTCCACAGCCGTCAAGCTTGTCGAACTTCATGCGGTAGTCCGGCTGGCCATCCTAGTCCACGCAAGACTCGTAGTCGTTTCGACTGTTCTAAGAACGGAGGCACACACAGAAGTTGTGCAGTGCTGACTGGTCGCTGATCCATCCAGGACGACTAAGTCTTCCTTCTGAAACAAGGGATGCCATCCTTGACAAAGTGCTTCCAGCTCCTCAAACACTAGCGCATCGCTACCCATAGGGCGTTGCCAAAGCCGCTAGGTGTAAACAAGCCCGTCAAATATGGTCGTCGGGTCTTTAACGAACGACGGCTTATGACGGCTTGATGACAACCTGTCCTGGCGCAGTTGAGGCAGGTCTTTGCCGAAGGTGCGAAATATCAAGGTAAAGCTTCTGCCCCTTCGCTTGAGCTCTCCTCAACATGCGAAGTGCAACGCAAAAGGCACCTACTAGCTCTGCGCTCAGACCGTGGAGCCCAAACAACACAAATAGATTGAAAAGTGCAGCCGCCGCTCGTAGCAAATGCAGGAATGAAGGAAGAAGCTGCACCGACTCCCCACCGAGACCTGCATCTTTCGCCGCCTGCGTGCCCCGAACAGCTTCAGGCAGAAGGAGCTTCTCCTGCATGCTGGCCAAATCTTTGCGGAAGGCCTGACGGGTGATCAAACCGGTCACTCTTCTTTGGGTTGCAGCTTGCCACCTTGTGAGGCTTTCGGGTTGTTCATGCCCGCTGCAAAATCAACAACATCCACCCGCACAAAGCAGGTGCATCTGATTGGCGTTTTTGAAACGCCGCTCATGAATGCAGGAACAAGCGAGTGAGTGACTC